GGGGGGGGGTGGCAAAGCCTCCTAAATTTTCTATAAAACTTTCAAATTTCCGACAACCCCCCCCCCCCCATTTGCACTTAAAAAGACTGTTTTTAGCCCTCTTTTAGATCAAAATTTCCGTAAATTTGGCAATTTTCCGTGAAGGTGGAATATATTTTGTAGTTTAAAACAGATTATATATTATCTGATATATTTACACATATTGAAAAGGATTTGACTGCATATTTCACATAAATTAGAATTTGCATTACTTAAATAAAGTATTATAAATAATTACACTCACAATATCATTCTGGGGCCGGTTGTATAAAAAAGCGATTAAAGTTAACTATGGTTAAGTGCAAACGTCATCCAATAAGAAGCGCATATTTGAGAGTTAATCACTATTTAATTACAAAATAGTGATTAAAAAAGTGATTAAGAGTTTTATACAACCGGCCCTAGAATGCAGGGTGCGATAATTCAATATTTTTAGCTGTACCTGACTGGTACTCCGACAATTTTTGCCGCGTACCTGGTCTGGTACAAACTTAAGAGTCAAGACGTACCTAAGACTACTTCCGAGTCATACGTTTTTATATCTACGTATAGTTACATATACTGGTCCAAAAGCAAAAAAATGTATGGGCAATTTTGTACAAATGAATCTTTAATTATGGTATGTGTACAACATAATATAACAGTTTTCAAAGCGTCGACGTTGTGACTCGGATGCCATCGCTCATTTACAGTGGATTTACCGAGAGTGCTAACAGTCTGACCTCAGCTACATACAGTGTAGTTTTCCTCATTGAGCCAAATACAACCAGTGGTTCCGGTTTCATATCGCGAAAAAATTAGGGTAGCTAGGTCGGAAATAAAATTTTTTTGAATATTTTTTCATGATTTTGGCGGTTTTTTGCTGGGCGATTTTCAGTAGAGTCCCGACATCAATATTAATTAGAGATGTGTAGTTCCTACGGATGAATTTAGGCAATTTGGTTCCGCAATAATTATCATGTGACAACAGACGCCATTTTGACAGGCTGTACGAGCAGCCCGCAACCACCCGGAGAAAATAGTGTCGCACGGTCAATCGTGTTGAAAAAAATAATAGGGTGGGCAGAAAAAAATAGGGTCGGTGGGGAAACCGGAACCACAGGTATTTTATTTTTAGGCCTTGGTATAGCATTGACAATTAAGCACAGGTCACACCACACAACGATAACGATACGATAACTTGTACTACAACGAAAACGATAAAATTATCGGCGTTTGACGATAACGATTTTAAAATCGCTCACCCGAGCGATTTTTTTTCAATCGGATGATGACGATAAATTTTTTGATCAAGCGCAAAGATAACCTTTTTGTTTTTTTCATCCCAAAATATGTCGGATTCGTGGAATTTACATGTACAGCTAAAGTTCTTCACGGTTTTGAATACTTTGGCAGGTTTGCTAGTTATTGCTAGAAGGGAAATGTAAGTACGCGAATAGCAAATTTCCGCGTACCTACCTGGTACTTGCCTAAAAACAAAGAAGTACCAGACCATAAATTTGGCGTACCTCCGGTACGTTGGTACGCGAATTATCGCACCCTGATCTCTATATGTTTTACTACAGATTATTATGTAACGTGTGGTGTAACGTGCGGTGTAACGTGTGTGTAACGTGTCTATAATCAGTACATAAAAATAGATTGATATTTTGCGCATGTGCGACCAGATTTGCTTGAGCTCATCTCACATAATCCCAAAATCATAGGAGATGGAATTTTGCAATAAATTCTAGTGCAAGTTTACGATGGGTAAGTCCATATATCAACATAAATAAAATTCTTGAATTGGGTTTAAAATCTAGTGAGTATGTCAATCTTATACGTAACAATTCAGCTAAAAGTAGGAAAATCATTGAAATTTTAATTTCCAAAATTGTATGCAAGTAGGTCAGAACGATGCGTTGTCTGTTATAAAATACTTGAACTTAAAGAAAATATTCTGTTTGAGAAAAAGATATATACTCATGATTGTCAGCCATAGGAAAAAATAATCTGAATTTTATTCATTATTTTATAATCTTCTTCCAGCAAACCAAACGGCAAACGGCTCGAAACGGTTTCCAAAATATACTCGAAACAAGCGAGGTTGCTTTAAATTTGACTCGCTTAAATATGCATATGTTGTATAGTTAAAATTATAAAAACGCCAGCAACACACTTGAACATTAGTGAATAGTACTTAAAAGTACTTTTTAAATCTTTGAAAATCTTTGAAATGTGAAAGCTTGGTATTTCAAACAGCAACTGTTTTATTTTTCACGCAAAACAACCTCAATGTTTTGTGGTTGTGAAAAGAACGTTTGATCAAACACTCATCTATCTGCATGTTGTTTCGGGACAGTCAAGTGTAGCCTGCGTGGCAGGCCCTCAAATTTATGGGAGGCTTGAGTAGTAATATAGGTACCGTTCGACCCTTATTTTTGCGGCGGTGGAGGTGGTGGAGTGTGGTGGAGGTGGTGGAGGTGGTGGAGTGTGGTGGAGGTGGTGGTGGAGTGAGGAGAAGGAGTGAGGAGGAGTAATGACGTCACTCATTAACATACGTCATAATTATATGCAATGACGTCACGCGGGCGAGCTTAAACACGATCGGGCGAAACTTGCTGACTACGCATTTTTTAGCGTCCCCCCACGTGTATGATACAATAGAGGGATTAATCTTGGTTTGCTATGAACTTTTATACAAGTGTCTGTATAAAATGTTGCGTTGTTATGTGTTGCTAAGTCATTAGAAGGCGTGTAGGTAATTAAGGGGATTAAGGCAATACGAATTTGCATAACTGAGTGTATCCTAATGGATAGATAGGGATTATTTATAACGCAGGTGTATGCCTTAAATTCAGGCGCGTGGCTTTGCGGGTGCATGCATATATTAAAGTACAACATATTTGTATACTAAACAGGTGGGCGAGTTAGACAAATCGCGCGGGCGGAAAGAAATTTACAAAATTTACAAAATTTTACACAATATTTTAGTTTTTAAATTTATTTATTTATTTAGTTTTTAAACATTTATTTCTTCAAAATGTTTTACAAAATTTAGTACGGTCTACTTCTAAGAGCATAACGGCTATGTGTTTTGTTATTTTTAAAGAGTTTTCATAGTCTTGTCTATCTTCTGGGGATAATCTTGCAACATATTCCTCCTTCATTGGAATATATTTTGGTCTTTCTTTTAGTAAAAAACGTTCATATCGCTCTTTTTCCTTTGGTTTCATCATAGCCAAGTCACTTTCTTTCCAATCAGCAGAATCTATCCAATTGTGAAAAAAGTTGTGCTTGAGTTTTGGTCGTTCACCTTCTGTTGGTGGTGGCATAAGGAAATTAGGTTTAGGCGTAGCAGGCACTGGTGGTGGTATTTCCGCAGGTACAGGCGTAGCATGCACTGGTGGTGGTATCTCTGCAGGCACTAGTGAAGTTCCCTGAACAGGAGCTTGAGCCGAGACATCCATCTTATTTTTGAATGTGAGAAACCGATTTAGTTGATCAGAGTAAAGCTTGCTTTTTTCCACCACAGAAAGTTGTGGTGCTTCCATGATTTCTTTCATTCTCTGTTCGGCATCATACATTGCGTTTGCAAGTGGTGGTTGTCGATACGACTGTTTTTATATAAACTTTTCAATCTCGCCGGGAAGTACGTTGGTCTTGAGTCGTTGTTGATCATCTGTTGTAGGCTTTAAATCCAACATCAAATACCCATGAGGTCGGCTCGTAGCATCTTCATAACTCTTCATAAACTCTTGTACTTTTCCGGGATTTATTTGCCTTGCAAGCATAGAAATTTGCTGTTTATCTCTTGGTGACTTGAGAACACGATATAATGGGCGTTTAGGCTGATATTTCTCATTTCTTTTCCCTGATGAAATATATTTTGGACAATATAGATGATAGATAAATTTTGATGATGGCTTCCTTTCGTAAAAAGATTAGAAATACGTTTATCTTTGCCAGATTGAGCCATAAGGTCGTCCAATACGATCAAATTCCGTTGATATACGTCCAAGTAATCTGCGTTGTCGATGTCTTCGGGGATGCCTTGATT